GCCCTCATTAGAGAAAGGTGAAGGAGCACACAGTGAACATACAGATTAATGTTTGCACGCGTAGATCATGTAAGGTGAGATGTTAAACACCAGACACGTAGTGTAGTAACTCCCTCACAGATGGCGTTATGAGGGGCCTGATGATGTAGCAGTTACCTCACAGATGGTGTTATGAGGAACTTCACATGATGATGCTGTAGCAAAACATTCACTACGTGGTGTCGTAGCATCTTGGGGACACCACGTGGTCGACATGACTCACTCATTCAAGTGGGTGAGGTGTGGTCCCAGGCCTCTCTATCGTGGAGTCTCAGGGGAAGTATAACTGGGTACCTGGGACCTCACTGTGTGAAGGTGGTTAGCTAGCTTGGGTAAGACTCAACTGCAGAGTTGTTTTTCACTGAGTTAAGCACTGTTCACCACTATTCATCACTGGTTCCATTCCTTGGCCAAATGAGATAGTACCTTATGGCAAGAACTTGTTGATAGTCCGCTGGGGAGGAGGGTTCAGGGGAGTGAGTTGGTATGAGCCAACATATAAATAATAATAATAATAATAATAATTAACGGTTTATTGAAAGAGCTTGGCAGCCAGAAGACTGAAAATATACAGTTACATATTTGGGGAATGGGTTACGAATTACAAATAATATACAAGTAACATGAGTGACACAAATAAGACATATAATAACTAGCTGGGGAAAAGCTCAAACTACAGTTCATTTCAACATAGTGACAGTGCAAGGAGTAGTGTTTACTGGGAGTGAGTACACTGATTTATTACAAGTTATCGATAATTTTTACAATGGTTGGTACTGGGCTGTTCTTATAGCGATCAGTTCGTGCACGTATGGGCTGGGCTGGATGCGGTTGTGGTGTCGAAGAGCAATTCTCGGACTAGGGATCTCAGGTGGTAGTAGGAGCCGGTGTCGGGGATGGTGTAGAAGCTTCTTACCAAATTTGCAGATGAGGTCGTGGTGATGGTCAGTGAGAGTCTAAAGGGTCAGTGTGTTGAGCGCTTCTTGATATGTGGAGTAGGAAGGGTAGAGAATAATCTTGCATGGCCTCTTTTGCACTTTTTCGAGGTGTTTACGTTGTGTGGCATTTAGGGAGGAAGACCAGGTGGAGGAGGAATAGGTGAGCTTGGGAAGTATGAATGTTGTGTAAACACTGAGGAGCTCGTGTGCAGGACCACCGAGGGACTTGAGTCGGCGTAGGAGGTGGAGACGGAAACTGGAGGATTTGATAACTTCACTGACGTGTGGTTTCTAATTTAGTTTGTTGTCTATATGTATGTGTGTGTGTGTGTGTGTGTGTGTGTGTGTATACTACTGTACTTTTTAGATCCTCCTACGCAACCTAACCTATTATAGTTAAGTATAGTAGGCTATACACTATTTTGTTAGTATGTGTTATAAAATGAAATTGCATGTTATTATTATTAATATTATTATTATTATTATTAGTAGTAGTAGTAGTAGTAGTAGTATTATTATTATTATTGTTATTATTATTACATGCTAATATAATACTAAGTTGCCCGCCAGATTTCCTCAGAGATGGGAGGAGCACATTGGCGGCGGTGTTGTTTATACTCCGCCCGATTACTGATTCCTATTCACCGAGCCAGAGCTGGCGGGCGGCGTGTTATGTGCCACGTTTTGTTTCCCATTAGGCGTACCGCTCAGCTGGGGAGTAGGAGATTTCATAAAAAGAAAGTTTGAGTGGAGAGCACACCTTTTCCTTCACATACAGTTATCTTAGACCATCTACTAGTATAATAGTTTGCACAAAAATACTCTACACTCTTTCTAGGTTGTTGCTATTTTTTTTTTTTTTTTTTTTGACTTCTCATCAGATTGTGCATTCAACTAATATACACTATTAGTGTGTTTATTATTATGTTTTATAGTATTATTTCGTATAATATTGGGTAACACAATTAGAGTCACTAGTATAGTATATTATTGGGGTTTATAGCAGTTTGTGGTCTAATAGTATCATGCTTTATGAGTGGTGTTCTATGTAGTGATGATTAGGCAATAAAATATGCTTTGGGTGTTTATAGCAGTTTTTGTGGTCTACTAGTATCATGCTTTATGGGTGGTGTTCTATGTAGTGATGATTAGGCCATAAAATATGCTTTTGGTTTATTGCTAACAAAATATACTTTGCTCTACCGCTGTCGTGCAAAACATGGTGAAACTTACATACACCGTTAATAAAGTATTGATGGAAGAAGAAGAAGAAGAAGAAGAAGAAGAAGAAGAAGAAGAAGAAGAAGAAGAAGAAGAAGTAAGAGGAAGAATTGTGGAGGGAATGAACAGTGAGACAATGTAAAGCCTCCGGGATGGCGGCAGCGTTTCTGTTATTAATATATAATAAGACAATAGGAAAATATGTTGTTGTCTCTACCTGTATTATTACCTTTGCGATAGCATGGTTCAATTTTGGGAGGACATAGGAAGGAGCAGGAGGTTAGGAAGGAGCAGGAGGTTAGGAAGGGATTTGTAGTGGGAGAGATAGTGTCTGTGATCCTCGGGTCACCACTCCTCGGATTGTGTCAGTTCAAGTTTAGAAGCTCCAACAACTTTCCCTGAATACGAATTGGCAACCTTTCGATTTACAACAGGTACCTACTTACTGCTACAGTAGGTAGGTGAACAGGGACAAAGGGGGCTAGGAAGAGTGTCCAAACAACTTGCTCCTGCCTGCCTGTGTGATGTAGTCGTGGCCAGAATTAGGTTAGGATACAGACACATCTGGCTAGTTAGTAACGCTGTACCCATACCGGAACACTCAGCATGTAAACTTGGTGATACACCTTTAAAGCACTACTATATTATTGAATGTGACACTGTCAAAGACTTCAGGCCACCTCACTTATTGTATCTTGAACTATGTCATTACTTCATTGAGGACATTACATTCTTGCTCTTTATCCCAAATTGGCTAGCCCACACTGGTAAATGTGTACTGTACTGTCAATGAATCTGATGTATTTCTTTGTGTATGAACCTGACTGAAAATAAGGTCGCCTCCCTTGCTGCTGCTGCTAAAGCTGCTGCTGCTGCTTCTTGCGCCCTTCTAAGTCCCGTTTAAGTCCCCCACCCCAGGCCCCCGCAGTACCCCTTCACATCTACACCATTCTAAAACATTTTCACTCAATTTCCACATTACTATGCTAATTACACGTAAAATAGAGTGTTATCCTGCAAAACGTTGATGTCGTATATTTCTCTCTTTAAGTGATATCCTGTGGCTCCGAAAGGAGCCTGTTTGGTTAGGTTGTCTTGTGTGAACGAACCTTGGGTTCTTATTTCTTCTCTGTCTTCTTGGGGAGGAGCACAGCTTGGATGTTAGGAAGGACCCCCCCTTGGGCAATGGTGACTCCAGATAGGAGCTTGTTCAGCTCCTCGTCATTGCGAATGGCAAGCTGAAGATGACGCGGGATAATGCGGGTCTTCTTGTTGTCGCGGGCGGCGTTACCGGCCAGCTCGAGCACTTCTGCTGCCAGGTACTCCATGACGGCTGCAAGGTACACAGGGGCACCTGCACCAACACGCTCAGCATAGTTGCCTTTACGCAAGAGACGGTGGATCCTACCCACGGGGAACTGGAGTCCGGCCCTGCTAGAACGGGACTTTGACTTGCCCTTCACCTTGCCTCCCTTGCCGCGTCCTGACATGTTGCTGCTGCTGCTTTTCGTGATAGGAGTTAAATTTCCTCGGGCCACCTTGGTCTTTTATACCAAGCTCAGGATCAGGCCAGGTGGCCGTCTCGCGGACCCAACCAATGTAAGAGAGCCGTAGCTGCAGCCAGTCTGATCCTGAGCGGCCCGCTCGGTATATAAGGAAAAGTTAGTCGGGCCAGTTTTCAATTCTCTCGCTCCGCGCCACGAGTAACTGTGCCGCCATGCCTCCCAAAACTTCCGGAAAGGCTGCCAAGAAGGCTGGAAAGGCCCAGAAGGCCATTGCCAAGGGTGACAAGAAGAAGAAGCGCAGGAGGAAGGAAAGCTCCAGCATCTACATCTACAAGGTACTGAAGCAAGTGCACCCCGACACAGGAGTCTCCTCCAAAGCTATGTCCATCATGAACTCTTTCGTGAACGACATCTTCGAGCGCATCGCTGCCGAGGCTTCCCGCCTGGCGCACTACAACAAACGCTCCACCATTACAAGTCGGGAAATCCAGACAGCTGTCCGACTCTTGCTGCCCGGTGAACTGGCCAAGCATGCCGTGTCTGAGGGCACCAAGGCTGGCACCAAGTACACCTCTTCCAAGTAAGAGGTTACTTGTGCACAACAAACACGCCATCCCACTACTACAACTTAATCGGCTCCTTCGGAGCCACAGTTACATGTTAAAGAGACAGTTACCGACAGTGATATATTGAGAGGGAAATAAATAAAAAAAAATTATAATAATCTGCATTCTCTATTGGCGTAGAAACAGGACTAAATCGAAACATTATAAATAAATAAATAAATTCTTCGTGGAGTACTTTTACACCCACTGCAAAGTGACATACATGGAGTGTGTTTGGGTTTCATTTCTTGTTTGCAGCACGCCTATTTCATGTAAACAATTCATTTTATTTTATTTTATTGAATTTTCTTTTATTTTAGTTATTTATTTACTTACTTATTCTTTATATATTAATTTGTTACTAGCTCTTGTTTTTTGCACCCACCCACCTCCCGAATTGATGACCTACTATACATTCGTGCCTGCACGAATGTTACCAACCGTTAGGCGATTTGGAGTAATAACCGAAATTAACGCTCTCCTACCAACCATTTTCGATTGTCATGACAATTATCGCTTCCAGAACAGTTCTTTGGCTAGGGCCGAGTTACTCTCGTCTCTGGTAGGTTTTTATTTGTGCATACTGTTTTCCCCAAGGAAGAGACTTGTGCGCTCTACATGGATCTTGAACCCAACTGGATGTCTGGGCATGATAAATGCTGCCTTTTTGCGTAGATCTTTGGTTGGGTGTCTCAAAGGCCACCCAGGTAAGCCTCAGAGGCTTCCTGCAGAGCCATGACGGCAGACGACTGGAAGCGCAGGTCAGTCTTGAAATCCTGGGCGATCTCACGCACCAGGCGCTGGAGGGGCAGCTTCCTGATGAGTAGCTCTGTGCTCTTCTGGTAACGACGGATCTCACGAAGGGCGACGGTTCCGGGCCTGTAACGATGGGGCTTCTTGACACCACCGGTGGCTGGGGCGGACTTGCGAGCTGCCTTGGTGGCAAGCTGCTTCCGTGGAGCCTTGCCTCCAGTGGACTTGCGGGCAGTCTGTTTAGTACGGGCCATCTCGACGACGAAATAGTCAATACGGGCGGCCCGGCAGGCTGGCGGGCTTATATACAGACATTCTCCACCTCAGTGGCCACCTCATTGGCCACGAGTGCCGCATGCGTCATCCGCAAGCTACGCCCCACCTCCAAGAGGGAGGGACGGCCTTGGATGAACGATACTACCGCTGCGTCCACAGCACGCCACCTACTCCCACCAAACCGTGGGCGAAGCCACACCAGGACCACCTGTAGTAGCAACCACAACAACATGACTGGACGAGGCAAAGGAGGCAAGGGGCTTGGAAAGGGTGGCGCCAAGCGTCATCGTAAGGTGCTTCGTGACAACATCCGGGGTATCACCAAGCCCGCCATTCGTCGTCTAGCTCGGCGTGGAGGTGTTAAACGTATATCCGGCCTTATCTACGAGGAGACCCGCGGCGTCCTCAAGGTGTTTCTGGAGAACGTCATCCGTGACGCCGTCACCTACACCGAGCACGCAAAAAGGAAGACCGTCACCGCCATGGATGTGGTGTATGCCCTGAAACGGCAGGGCCGCACCCTTTATGGTTTTGGTGGTTAATCAACCTGATGGACGGGCGCACACCACCACCACCACCACGACAAACAAATATACGGACCTAATTTTAGGTCCACATTTAAATCGCTAACGAGTTGGTTAGACACTGAGTAAATCGTTGAAAATATATCCAATAACATGATCCTCTCTAATTCTGGACTTGTGGTATGAGTATAGGTTGTGTGTGAACGTGTTGGAACCACTTCCTAATAATTGTCAGTCAGTCAGTCAACATTCACCTAACCTCCAGGTACCTCACCTAACTTCCTGTAGCGTCACCGAACCTCACGAAATGTAACCCAATGTAGTTTATAATCTATCCTAACATGACATAACATAACCACGCACTATATTACTTCGGTAAGAGTAATGAGTTTTAATACGCAAAGTTGCAGTTATCATTCATTCATACATACATACATACATACATAAATAACATGCTAGTGGCAGGGGGGATTGAAGTGAATTTTAGGAGGATAGAATAGGTGCAGTGGCTAAACAGCGCTTGCATGAGGGACTTTAAGCAGCAACTCGCCTGGATGCGGCAGGATAGAGTCAGGTCAAGCGTCCGGTGCATGTTGGGTTCCGCCATGGTTTCTCAGTGTTTGGTCGGCTTGATTGTGTGTGTTGTTTTCTTGTTTGGAGGAAATGTCTTGGTATTCTTCTTCTTAGCTTGAAGTTGATTTTCTTCTAACTCTTCTCCTCTTGTTGTTCGTCTTCCTCGTGTCTGCTATCATTCTGTATAGACTCTATATATGTATGTAGGTATGAGTGAGTAACAGTTGCCGGTTACAGTGATACTTCATATTCGCTGGTGTTGTACTGTACGGCTTCGGTATTTCTTAATATACAAACGGCACCGTTAGGGGATTGAGGTATTTAAAAACCAGCCTGCATTACTTATATATAGAACTAAATAATGTGGCTTGGACAATAATGACGACTACTCTCTCCTACCTTCCCCAAACAAGGGCTTTTCGAAAGTATACATTGGACACAAATGACTTAGTACATCATAAATTGGTGGTTTAACAAAAGCCCTCATTAGAGAAAGGTGAAGGAGCACACAGTGAACATACAGATTAATGTTTGCACGCGTAGATCATGTAAGGTGAGATGTTGAACACCAGACACGTAGTGTAGTAACTCCCTCACAGATGGCGTTATGAGGCGCCTGATGATGTAGCAGTTACCTCACAGATGGTGTTATGAGGAAATTCACATGATGATGCTGTAGCAAAACATTCACTACGTGTTGTCGTAGCATCTTGGGGACACCACGTGGTCGACATGACTCACTCATTCAAGTTGGTGAGGTGTGGTCCCAGGCCTCTCTATCGTGGAGTCTCAGGGGAAGTATAACTGGGTACCTGGGACCTCACTGTGTGAAGGTGGTTAGCTAGCTTGGGTAAGACTCAACTGCCGAGTTGTTTTTCACTGAGTTAAGCACTGTTCACCACTATTCATCACTGGTTCCATTCCTTTGCCAAATGAGATAGTACCTTATGGCAAGAACTTGTTGATAGTCGGCTGGGGAGGAGGGTTCAGGGGAGTGAGTTGGTATGGGCCAACATATAAATAATAATAATAATAATAATAATAATTAACGGTTTATTGAAAAAGCTTGGCAGCCAGAAGACTGAAAATATACAGTTACATATTTGGGGAATGGGTTACGAATTACAAATAATATACAAGTAACATGAGTGACACAAATAAGACATATAATAACTAGCTGGGGAAAAGCTCAAACTACAGTTCATTTCAACATAGTGACAGTGCAAGGAGTAGTGTTTACTGGGAGTGAGTACACTGATTTATTACAAGTTATCGATAATTTTTACAATGGTTGGGACTGGGCTGTTCTTATAGCGATCAGTTCGTGCACGTATGGGCTGGGCTGGATGCGGTTGTGGTGTCAAAGAGCAATTCTCGGACTAGGGATCTCAGGTGGTAGTAGGAGCCGGTGTCAGGGATGGTGTAGAAGCTTCTTACCAAATTTGCAGATGAGGTCGTGGTGATGGTCAGTGAGAGTCTAAAGGGTCAGTGTGTTGAGCGCTTCTTGATATGTGGAGTAGGAAGGGTAGAGAATAATCTTGCATGGCCTCTTTTGCACTTTTTCGAGGTGTTTACGTTGTGTGGCATTTAGGGAGGAAGACCAAGTGGAGGAGGCATAGGTGAGCTTGGGAAGTATGAATGTTGTGTAAACACTGAGGAGCTCGTGTGCAGGACCACCGAGGGACTTGAGTCGGCGTAGGAGGTGGAGACGGAAACTGGAGGATTTGATATCTTCACTGACGTGTGGTTTCTAATTTAGTTTGTTGTCTATATGTATGTGTGTGTGTGTGTGTGTGTGTGTGTGTGTGTGTGTGTGTGTGTGTGTATACTACTGTACTTTTTAGATCCTCCTACGCAACCTAACCTATTATAGTTAAGTATAGTAGGCTATACACTATTTTGTTAGTATGTGTTATAAAATGAAATTGCATGTTATTATTATTAATATTATTATTATTAATATTATTAGTATTATTATTAGTAGTAGTATTATTATTATTATTATTATTGTTATTATTATTACATGCTAATATAATACTAAGTTGCCCGCCAGATTTCCTCAGAGATGGGAGGAGCACATTGGCGGCGGTGTTGTTTATACTCCGCCCGATTACTGATTCCTATTCACCGAGCCAGGGCTGGCGGGCGGCGTGTTATGTGCCACGTTTTGTTTCCCATTGGGCGTACCGCTCAGCTGGGGAGTAGGAGATTTCATAAAAAGAAAGTTTGAGTGGAGAGCACACCTTTTCCTTCACATACAGTTATCTTAGACCATCTACTAGTATAATAGTTTGCACAAAAATACTCTACACTCTTTCTAGGTTATTGTTATGTTGTTTTTTTTTTTTTGACTTCTCATCAGATTGTGCATTCAACTAATATACACTATTAGTGTGTTTATTATTATGTTTTATAGTATTATTTCGTATAATATTGGGTAACACAATTATAGTCACTAGTATAGTATATTATTGGGGTTTATAGCAGTTTGTGGTCTAATAGTATCATGC